CCTTGTAATAAATGACCATGATGTGAATTTAAAATAACAAAATGATATATTAAACAATATAGTCCAAAAAAGCATCATGGTGATTTAACCATGTATTCTTCGTAAGCAAATCTGAAAGCTCTACAAAATGTCGAATGCATACTACTTGATACATTGATGGATTTGTTGATCGCCTTCACCTTGCTGCCATTGGACTACTGATCCCTTGCTTTGGACCGTAGGAACATGGGCATCTGGCCCGTCCAATCATGCTGGATGAGCAGCAGTTATAAAAGGTGCAAATCTTGGCCTTGGAAACCACAGAAGTACATATCACTTAGCCAAAGAAAGACAATAAGGAGGCACTCATCGTAACAATTCACCGTGACGTCTGGCCTTGGCTGTACTGTAACTGCTTCCTCGGACAACGAGACAATGGATTGATTCCTACATCTATGGACTCAGGTTCCTTCCTCCTTTAAAGCTATCTTAGTTCGCACTAGACGGATGCCTTCAGCCCAATTCTCAATACTTTTTCGCACATACAGCCGTGTGGTTTCGAAAGGATAGCTTAGCAAATTGCGTGAAAGTTTTGCCAATCAACGAGCAAAGCCAGTGGTAGCAAAAACACTTCTTTTTAAACTCTTTTAGAGACCCCAGGACTCGATCTTATGGATACGTAAAACATAGGCCAAGGAGCTTTCTCAAACCCTACACTAACACTAGCTCCCTAGAAACCTAATCTTCTCTAACCTATTTCCCATGGTGGCCCATTAGTCGGCTGATTCCTGACTCAACTTGGCATTAAGCATTCCTGGATCTCATATGTGAGCGTCAAAAATCCATTGCATGAGACCTATGCCATGTCGCAATCAAATGAGGGAATATGAATGGCACTTTTGTTGTTGCAAAACATATCAATAGAGGTCAACGCGAAGGGAGAACGACAGTGTTCTTCAATTTGGTTGATCGGCACTGCGACTTGGAAAGTTCTACTCGTCCTCCCTTTTCTTTTCTATGTATGGATTCTCGAGAAGAGAGAAGCCATGGTGGTCCCCCAGGACCACTCAGATCCCTCGAATGTGATCAAGGTTCAAGACTATACTTACTATACTATATTGCACTATACTACAAAGGTAGAGCTCCAAATTCTTGGCCTATAGCGATCCTTGCTTTTAAGAAAGCGGGGAAAACTTACTGTACTTGCTCGCTCTATATGCCCCCATTTCATCGAATGTCCCTAGGTTGTTGGTCGTGTAGTCGTTGTACACTTTTTTCATGCAAGTAGAGTCCAGTCTACCTGATAAGCTAACAAGCATAAGATTTCACCATGTGTGGCGTAAGCCGGAGTCATTGGATCTCATGGTGGAAAGACATGCGAGGAAGTTCGGCCATGGAAACTTCCAATGTTTGTTCTTAGGCGAACGGCTGCTCCTTATTAAGGCTAGCACCTAAAATATTTTAGTGTACATTATCGCATTGTTCCATGTGGTTGAAGCATACTAACTAAGAAAGAAAATAAGAGAGAATTTTCATATAGGGGCTAAGGGTATAGAATGTGCGATCGGTGAAATGCAATGGTTTACAACCCAAAAACCATGGTGGGATAGGAATTACATGGCTTACAGAGGAGAATTACATTAACCGGGCTTACCCACCCACCAAATGTTACATAAGCCTCTCAAAGAGCCCATTTATGCAAGACTAACAACAAAACCGGTATCCAGGAGATGCAGAGAAAAGAACCCACAAGACAAAAAAATGTGCATTAACATTTGTCATGCTCAAGACAGTTATTGTAATGATCTGCCTAGAAAGCAATAACATGCTTTTGAACAAACTCCTAACAATCCATAAATTGAGGCAATTGACATTAGATATGTGTACGGCCCTCATAGGCAAAGAGCAAAGACACTACTAAAAAGATCTCATCCTCCCCAAAAGGTTAAATCCATCCAGATGGCACAAGCCCCCTAAATCCTTAAATCCTTGTCTCTACCAATAATATACACCCTTGAACCTCTCAACCAGCCACCTCTCAGTCGATCTTGCATCAATTGAATCAATGTGCCAAGCAGTTTAGGACTGCCAACACAATCTGTTTGCTCCTCTTAACAAATATCCCACTTTTTGGCATAATCAAGTCCCTCATTTCCTTTATCAGGATAAGCAATTGCTTAAACTCAATTGCAAAAAGTACTCAAAGGCCCACATGTTCAACATTTATTCTATTCCATGGTCGTCAAAATAAATCTCATAAATAGAGCTATATATCCAAAAATCTATGTTACCATGGACAGGAATTAGATACTTATCGAATAAGAACTTAGTTGCTAGGAGCCGGAGCGGGGATGGCTCTGGGATTGGGAGTTGGAATGGCAGATCGAAGGGTGACAGAAACTCCGATATTCAGGGAGCATGCTCCATACAATGTATCTATCCCGGAGCTGGATCCCATATATAAAGGATCGCATTCCCAAATGCTCAAGGGAGCAAGATCCCATTTCGCAAGGACCGTTGTTCCCACTTCTTATGGGATCTCGACCGCAAATACCCAGGGACCGTTATCTGTATGAATTGGGGTCATCTATAAATATAAAGGATCGCAGTCCCAATGCTCACGGAAACTAGATCCCATTATGCAACAGATGAATTCCCTCTTTCGATTGTGTGAAAGGCTTTAATTATTTTAATTCCCAATATAATTTACACATTATAATTTAATTCTTGATGTTTGAGATCAATACACAACAAGGATGGAGATCCACAATTATAGGGATCGAGATCCCGATAAGAATGAAGATCCATAACTACAGGGATTGAGGATCGAGATCCCTGAATCGAGAGATCATGATCCAAAAATGATAGAGATCAAGATCCACAAATAGAGGGATCGAACACCATAGTTAGGTGGGATCGAGATCCCTACAGATAAGGAATCAAGATTTTGTGGAAAAAGGGCGAACTCCCTTGAAAACAAAAGAGCTCTGGTTGAGATCCAGGCTTTGGAGCGCGGGATTTGGATTCTGGAGCCAAACCATGCCCCCCTACAGCGCTCTCGATAAATGGAAAAGAATGATCACATCCAACGAAATTGGAAATGCATAGCATACAAACTACAATATTTTTGAGACTGAGTCTCCAAGGGAATGATAGAAACCCTACAAGATCTTTAGTTTGTCAAACACAAAAAGTGCATGCATTTAACCTAGTACAACAGCAAGCACCAAGAGGCCAAGAAAAGAAATTCAGAACCAAAGCTTTATCATCATGATAGATTCTCCATGCACCAAAAAGGTAAGGCCTAAAAAGGAGCTGTCACCAAAGTTTCATTTCAAGGGTCCCTTCAATGGCTGCATCAAGGATTCGCTAAGACTATCATCCACTCATGAATCAGCTCCGCCAGCCAAGGTCCACTACAAATCTTGCTTAACTAGAGTCCATGAAAGAACAGGAACCCCTACTTCGTTCTCCAAGAAATTGATGCAAGAGTTTGCCCCTCGAAGACAAACAATCCTATTATCATAAAAGAAACTTGGTGGGCAGATATTCCATATGTTGCTCAAAAGACATTCTCCCCAGCTAAATCTTTAATTTTTTAAATTAATTGACCCTAGATAAATCAAGCAGGCTTCCTATCATAGGCCTCAAGAAACCCACAATGATGGCCTCTATCTCGACCAAAAACATATGCTAATTGTTCTCTCATTGTAACTGAATCAACGAAGCTCTTCCCTATCCTACCCCCACCTTTTAATCGAAGAGGAGGAAAATATATGATGTAGCACTCAACCAATTTGACCTATTAAAAGGATTATTCCCCCCAAACTGTACTAATAAAAAAGCAATTAAAGACACAAAATCGTTTATTACCCCATAACCATACCAACAAATGTAAGAAACCCTGAAACATTTAAGAACTCCAGGACATCATAATCTGGCATTAATTCTCGAAAAGACAGAGTGGATATTGATATGGAAGGCTCGTCATCTGCTACTACCAATTTGTTACCATATGAAAAGTAAATTCCTGACCACAAACATCGCCCATTCCATTGAGGGAATGCTTCCCACGAAAAATTAGACATCACTTCCTTCAATGCAATGAACACAAAAATATGAAACCGAGTTCTGCAACTTACGATATTCAAGATGCCAAAACCAAAATGGAAAAACAGAAAGAGGAAGAGCAAAATCAGAAACTTGCATTCCTAAAATCATAGTTACAAAGCTTAAAAATTATAAAAAATAAACAAATCAATAGATAAGTGCAACAAGCTCAGGGAAGTGAAACGCTCAATGCATTGAACCCAGATAATTCACCTAAAGACCATCAAAATGACTTTGCACCACTTCAGGGAGAAATAATGTGAAATAATGGTCACCTGAAGTACGATTTATTGGAAACCCTGCTAGTTCCCTAATTTAGCAGGCTTTTGGTATATCGACAACCTTTCTGCTTTAACCCAACCTTACAGTTTTTTCCACAAAATTCATAACTCCAAAAATTTATCTATGTTCTCAATATATTTTTAGAAATTTCAGAATCCCAGAATTTTGCCTACGCTCAGAATAAATTGGGAAGTGAGTACTCGACAATAAACATAAGCCACTCAAGTAACCCTAGATGAGCTGATCCATTCACATTTTCTGTTAAATCAATCGAGATATTCTGAGAAATCAATTGAGCTATTGAATCAAATGTCACAGAAACCCTAATTCCAAACGATGCATTGCCATCCCAAGTGCATGCTCATTGGAAAGGCAACATCTAAACAAAAACCAACTATGAGAGAGAAGCACCTAAAATCAAAACGAAGAAGAGATACAAGATACTACCTCAAACGAAACAAGGAGATAACAACCCAAGTATCTTCAACAACAAGCAACACATAAAGAAAGGAGAAATCACAAAAAACCCAACAGATAGAATCATAAAACAACAAATCACATGAGAAATCAATAGACCGATAAAAACCCAAACTTTCAAAATAAATGAAACTTGGGAAACATGAACTGACCTCTGATCATGTCAAAATGAGCCCATCTAGGCGGAATAGATGCCATTTTTGAGGAAGGTGCTTCCGAATCAGGTCTTATTATCGAAGCAGGATTCCTCGAAAGCATAGAGGCCATGGCAGGCTGAAACCCCCATCGCAATGAAGAAATCCTTCTCCCTACAACTCGCAACATCTCTTCCAACCAAAACACAATAAGATTTCACAGAGGTTTCGGAAAAAAGAAGGGGAGGGGACAAAAAATATCCACAGAGAGAGAGACTTGTGAAGAGAGCAGCGGTTAACGTGAGGCGTGCTCAGTTTATACAAGGCGGGGATCGTCTTCGTGCAAAAAAAAAAAAGAAGAGAGAGAAACCTATACGTTCAAAAGATAGAGAAAAAGAGAGAGCAGCTGCGGTCAATATTGAGATGTAACCGCACTGAGAGGGAGGAGGGCGAATGCGAATGAAACGAGAGCATACTTAATAAAGGCGTTCACTTTCAAAAAATAATACGTTAATGCTCCTACGCCCATGTGTGAAGATGGGTAATAAGGACAGCAGGTCGGGTTGGGTCTGGCTCCGGGTCTAGGCTCGGGTGAGCCTGGATGGGATCTAGTTCTGGACTTCGGTTACTTGGATCCCATTGGACCCGCTCCAAAAATTAAAATATCTATACATTTAAATATATTTTAATGTTTTTTTATAAATTAAAAAGTTTATATATAAGGTTGCAACTTTAAAATGTAGAGTCACATATGCACCTCAAAAATGCATCAAAAAAATGTTGTTTTAATGTTGAAAAACCCCCTAATTGATTATCTTGATATCGAGATGTATGAATATGAAAAAAAAAAAAAAAGATTTTGAGTCCCAAAAAACATATAATCTAGACTGTCCAATTTCAAGATTTTAATATACTTATAGATCTACTTGAATTTAACCATTTTTGGAGTTTAAAATTTCATAGATTTTCAATTAATCCTAAAAAAAATTTATGCCAAAAATACATATTATGATAAATTTTGGAGGTGTGCCTTAATTGGATTCTTTAAGATTGCAACCTTATAGAAATCACACCCTTTATAAATTGAGAAATGTGGGACTCAAATCCAATCGGATTCAAACCCGTACCCAAATAGTATTTGGGTCCACAATTAGGACCCAAACCGACCAGTCGGATCCAATTTTTGGACCTATACAACCTGAGTCGGGTCTAGCTGCCCAGTCCAAGGTGGGTCAGTGTCCATTGCCACCCCTTGATTCACGGGTTCATGGGAAATATGAGGTGGTACCTGTTTATGCATAGCATGGAAATAAACAGAACGTATACCAACCGATGACCACAACGTACAGCTAGTAAGTTTCATTTATCTCCAAGGTCCATGGAGGATAAGCCTAAAATTTTGCATTACGCTAGAATGAATGAAGGGGAAGGCGGCGGCCTCTCCCTTCAAGGGTGGCAACCGGGTTGGGTCGTCCCAAACAAGCCTAGCTCCAAATCTATGTTTTGGACACATGGGTAGAGGTTGGGTCTAAATGATTTGGACAGAATCTAAATTGATAATATATATATATATATATATATATATATATATATATATATATATATATATATATATAGANATATACTACTCTACTCCTCTACTACTACTAAACGTAAACGTAACGAACTAACAAACGAACA